AAAAAAAAAAGATTCTCTCCCCCTCTTCCTCTGCCCCGCCTGCCTGTCTCTCTCTCTCTGTCTCCCTCTCTCTCTCTCCACCCACCCCCCCCAAATAAAATAAAAAAATAAACTGCTGTTACTTTACCAGCAAAAATGGGTTTATTCGGGAATGGCAGAGAATTGCAATCTGGGACAGTTAAGCTATGGCAAAACCATAGGTGATTCTGCGGAACAAAGGAGAAGAGGCTCTTTTACAGAGGAGAGGGGGCATTGGGAGGGGCTGCATTAAGCTGAAAGTCCACTGGTGTAAACTTGGAGCTGGGAAGTGTAGTGGCTTCTCATTGGCTGAGCTGTTGCCAGGGCAGGAGGAAACCTTCCTTTCTCCTGACGGGACAGTAAACGAGTATCCACGGGGAGATGCATCTCTCCCTGTTGGGTCTGCAGCGGACAGTGGACTGGTAGAGCCTGGGCGCTGCCCCTTCTGGCCTCCCGACTCCAATCCAAAGGAGGATTTTCCTTTTGCTCATTTTCTCAGAGCTTTTCCCACTGGGCCCTTCACCCCACTGAATCTGCGCCATCCCGAAGTGGAGCAGGCAGCCCTGTTGTGTGATGTCCGTAATAAGTGTGGCACTGACAAGCACTGGACGGTTTCTTTTACTAAACAGACGGTGTTGAGTTGGTCCTGTTTCACTGGGTGTGTGGTGGTGGTTAGTTTGTTTGCTGAAGTGGAAGCAGACAACTTTGCTTGATGCTTGTTACTTTTTTGTGGTTAAGGTAGATCTCCGTAACAGTGTACAAACCCTCAAACGTGTCTGAGCTGCCTTACATTTTTTGAAAGTACCAACACCCCAGCTAACTGATGCCTGAACTAGTTACACTGTTGGCATTCAGATTTGCTGGGACAGTGCATATGAGGAAGGCAGGTCTTTTTTCCTTAACTTAGGATTTTCATCTCTGAAAACACAAGAATTCTCTTCCATGTAGAAATCCTCGTGCTCCTTTGCCACTCGCACTTTTTATTCCCTGAGCGTGGTGCGCACCTGTGCCCGCCCAGATCCAACCTTCCTTAGCCTTGTGGGGTTTAAAAGCCACACTCCTTAAACATGTTGCCAGATTATCTAAACTTTAGACACATTTCCTGTAAATGGGAAATTCTCTAAATTTTTAAAAGCGTATTTATCTGTAAAAATGCATGTCTTCCTAGCTGATTGGGTCAGGACTATTACCCAAGGATTTTGAAAGGGTTTTTGGAGAATGCTGCCTCATGCTAACTTTACCACCATTGTTTGCCTTGAAAGAGGTGTGAGTGAACATTTTTTTATTTTACCAATTAAACAACATTTTAGGAGAAGAAAACTATGTGTAAAGTCTATGAGTAGTATGTATTGCAAAGCTTCAGTTTCCTATCTATAAAATAAATTTAATGACAGTGCAGCTGTCCCTTGAACAACATGGGTGGGGCCGCCGAGCCCCTGTCTAGAAAATCTGCATATAACTTTTTTTTTTTAAGATTTTATTTATTTATTTGACAGAGAGAGAGACAGCAAGAGAGGGAACACAAGCAGGGGGAGTGGGAGAGGGAGAAGCAGGCTTCCCGCCGAGCGGGGAGCCCGATGTGGGGCTCGATCCCAGGACCCCGGGACCATGACCTGAGCCGAAGGCAGACGCTTAACGACTGAGCCACCCAGGCGCCCCTGCATATGACTTTTTATTCCCCCAAAACTTAAGTACTAATTGCCTAGTGTTGACCAGATGCCATACCAATGACATAAACCAGTAACACATATTTTATATGTTATGTACTATATTCTGTATTCTTACGATGAAGTAAGCTAGAGAAAAAATGTTACTAAGAAAATTATAAGGAAGAGAAAATACATTTACGGTACTGTTCTGTATCGAAAAAAATCTGTATATAAGTAGATCCACGCAGTTCAAACCTGTTTTGTTCCGGTCAGCTGTATTTCATAGGATTGTTCTAAAAGTTGAAGTAATGAGCGCCTGCCAAGGGCTTAGTGACACTTCTGAGACATCCTGTAATGGTGGTTCTCAGTCACTGTCGTACCAAACACAGGACTGTTGGGTGATCCAGGAGACTAAGGCTCCTGGGGCTCCTTTTGCACACTGTCACTGGGGCCTCACCCCTCGCTCCTCCCTGGTCTGGTCTCCTGACGGAAAGTAGTGATACTCGGACACCCCCGTCCGCCCTGCTCTGGCTTTCCCTCCGCACTGCTGCCCGATGGTCCGTGTTGACTTTCTTTTCTGCTGCGCAGGGAGAGGGTCTTCATGTTGTTCCCTCTTCCCTGTTCTTAGGACAGTGAGCACACAGCCGTTGTTCTGCGTGTGTCACAGTGACCAGTCTGTGCGTGCTCCTTCTTTTCAGGGTGTTCTGAGGATACATTTTATTGAAGCTCAGGATCTTCAGGGGAAAGATACGTACCTTAAGGGACTCGTCAAGGGAAAGTCAGACCCCTATGGAGTTATTCGAGTTGGCAACCAGATCTTCCAAAGCAAGGTCATCAAAGAGAACCTCAGTCCCAAGTGGAATGAGGTGTACGAGGTAAGATGTGTCCAGTGGCGTCAGTTGGCTTCTCCCCCAATTCTGATTCCACTCCTGTTATGCAGGAGTGTGGTTGGTTTAGAGCATCATTTAAATCATTTTTCTTTCGTTTCCCACCTTCAAAAGTATTGTACCTTCTGTCCCTACCTCACAACTTTCTTGTGCCAAGGCATAAACAACACATAAATTTTAAACTTTAATTACATTAAACTATCACAATAAATAATTGACAAAGTGATTTCTGTGGTTGTTAACATGTAAACATTTACAAATTTGAGATTATGTACTGTTTTGTAAATTCTCATTTACTACATCTAGGCATCTCTGTAGGTCAGTGAACATAGATGAACATGGTTTATACTTGCCATTCACCGAATAGATTCCATCATTTCTTTACCCAAGGAGATACTGGCTGTTCATTTCAGCATTAGAACCACTGCTGTTACCCGTGTAATGGGAATGTATTTTTCTTCACTTGACCAAGTTTTCTCCAGATAAGCTCCTCAAAGTGGAATTGCTGCATCATAAATCATGCTTTTTTGAAAGGAGTGATACATTTTTGCAAAATTGTTCTTCAGAACAGTTGTACACTTTGTGCTCCACCAGCTTCCCATCCTCCCAAACCAGTCTGTTGCCAGATTTCTTAATCTCTAAGTGGTGGTAAATGGATCACTTGTCGGTATCCCAAGAATAGCACTTCAACAGAGCCGCTTCAGGACTAGAAAGATGTCCCAGGCCTGTACCAGTCTTTGGGTGCCATCTGGTGACCTGACTTCGGAGCAGTGGAACTTGACTCGGGTAGCTGGAAACACAGTAGACTGTTGCTGTGTGGGCAAATGCTTCGGAACGGTCTCCCGTGGAGACGTGTGTGTGTGTGGTTGGGCAATGACATGAAGTCAGTGCTGCCATACTTACCATGGGGGAGAACTGCAGGGAGCTCTTTACTACAGTCCTCCTATTCGGTAGCTGCCAACAGTAGTAACCGTGTGAGATAACTACTCCTTGTTTTTTCAGGCTTTAGTCTATGAACATCCTGGACAGGAATTAGAGATTGAGCTCTTTGATGAAGACCCAGACAAGGATGACTTCCTAGGAAGGTAAACCCTCGGGGAAGGAGAACACAGGCTGCTCTTTCTTCTGAGTAGTGACACTTAGAACGAATACGGCTTCAAAAAATACGCTATGTATGTGTCACATGTATTTTTAAGTGGCTTCTTAGATATAACATTTGTTTCACCTTAGACTTCTTAAAGTATGTTTTATTCCTGTAGAGTTTCACATTTAAGTACAAGAAGGAAAGGTTTAGATCTGTGTCTGTTTCAGCAGCCACTGGCCACATGTAGCTATGTGCCCACATTCAAGTGCTGGTAACCCGCATGTGGAGTGTGCCCCAGAGGCCGGTACCGCAGCCTGCCTTCACGCCGTGCAGGCTCTGCTCTAGACTGCAGAAAGGAGTTTTTAAGCTTTTTCGATTTGTTGGGTTATTCAGGGAGCAGGGGGGATAGTGATTTACATTGTGCCTACACATTGGAAAAATAAATATTGACCTGTTTACTTAAATTGAACAACCACTACAGCTGAAAAACATGAGCTTTTAAAAAATACATCTAACCCTAATCTTTATTATTTGACTGACTTTCTTGTGGTAAAAGATTCAGGGATAGATGACGTTGGACAGATTTGGCCTCCTCAAGAATGGCCTGTGTATTATGCTGTGACTTCAGAATTCATTCATGAGATGGTTTAACAAGGAGTGACCAAAAGATTGTAAGCAGGGCAGTGATGGATCAGATTGCATTGTAATAAAACCACTGTTGGCTCAGAGTAGCAGGGACTGAGCCTGGGGACTGTGGTGATAGACCAGGAAAGAGCTGGGAGGGTCTCACCTGGTGTAGGGCAGGAGGAGGGGCAGTTGCGAGAGAAAATAGGAGTGCAGTCAGCCCATCCTCGTCATCTCTGACTTCTGAGGGAGGGGAGGTCCATGCTTTGCAGCAGAGCAGGACTTCTAGGGGAAATGGAAGGGGCTCTCAGAGAGCTGAACCAGAAACGTCTGTGGGGATGGTTCAGAGCTGTGGAGCGAGGACAGGAAAGGGGCATGGGTGACTGAGCTGTAGTGACGGATGGCAGCGCTGAGGGAGAGCATGTCAGACAAGAGGGCTGAATGTTTTCAAACATTTTCAGCACATTATAAATAGCTACGTTGTGGGGAAAACCACATTTTTTACAACTCTGATCCTGGCTTTGCCAAACTGAGGATCCTGACCTCCCAGAGACTCACCCCTGCTTGTTTCTTTACTTCCCTTCATAGTTTTGGGATAAGCCTGAGGAAGCTTCTGGAAGAAGTCTGTTTCTTGATAAACTATAGAGTTTTGATACATTTCCGGAGTACTTTTTCGTAGACAAATGTTTAAGGTTATTTCAGTTGTAAGAAGTGTGTTTCTATGTTCTAAAGTTGTTGTGTTGTTATTTCTATAGTCTTATGATTGATCTTATTGAAGTTGAGAAGGAGCGCCTTTTAGATGAAGTAAGTTTTCTTTGAGTATTATTCTATTTCATGAGCATTGACAGACCTGCTGGTCTCCCACACGATGTTCTGAGAACTTAGACCTTTTAATAATGGCAAAGTGAAAAGAAGTAAGTTTAACAGCCCAATCAGATAGTGTGTATTGTGTGCCCAGCATATGCTAGAAATTCCTAAGAGTACAAGCACAAACCGACCATTCAGGCAGGCATGTGCTCTCCTTTGGGAGTCCGGGCAGAGGCCTGTGAGAAGCTCCCCAAAAGTGGGCTTTTTAAAGATAGCTGGAGTTAGTAACAGAGCTAGCGCAGTGCGATCAGTGAGAAGTTGTCACGTGAAAGCCGCCTTAGGGCGGTGGGAGTTTACAACAAGCAGACACTACTTCAAGCATGATATTTCTGTCAGAATAAAACGTATTAAAAAAGAAAATTTTGAGGTGGCTTCTATAAGATGGGTATAATTGGGATAAGTAGGGCATAATTAACGGAACGAGTGTTGAGATCCACTGCTTTCAAAGTAACACATTTTCTTATGCACTCCCCAGGGCAGTCTCTTAACACTGAGTGGGGATTATCTTCGATGAATTGCTTTGTGGTGTTTAAGCTGAAACACGTGTATACTATTTTATTAAGTAGTACATAGACATAAAGACAAACATGTTAACTTCTTTGATAATGAAATTCAGTATTTGGAATCAATGTTATATTATCTCCTGGCCCATAAATTCTGTTGAAGTCCATATGTAGAAGCCTGACAGTGCTGGACAGTACTAGAAGACATTTGAATCCTTGTCTGTTAAGTTAGGGATGAAAATGGTATTGACTCCAGAGTGGTGGCAATGCTGGGCGAGTTCCAGCCCACTGCTCTTGTCATCCTCTGGTGCCATCGGCTCATTCGAAGGGCAAAGCGAAATATGGTAGGACTCGGTCCTTCAGCATTAATCAGGAACTGTTGGTGCCTCACAGTGAGCAGCTTGTGACATTTGTGGAAACTGCTTGACTGGAAAGGTTGACTCAGGAGAACTTTTATGAACGTTCACGTTCTCTCTTCAGTGGTTCGCCCTGGACGAGGTTCCCAGAGGAAAACTGCACTTGAAACTGGAGTGGCTCACATTAATGCCAAATGCTTCAAACCTCGACAAGGTGCTGTGAAGTATTTCCCATGACAACAACCGCCCCTCATAGCTAAGATTAGTGTCTTTAGGTTGCGTTTCTACTTGGCTTAGAAAAATGGCAGCAGTAATTTTGATTAAATTAAGTAAGTCACTGCAGTCACATAAGGGGTAAATTAAAGATAATGGAATTTTTTTTTTATAGAAAGATGTACACGTCATTCCCACCTGTTTTATGAGATCTTCATATTTTGTGCTTGATATACTCGAGTATGGGGGTTTGGAGAGCCACAGATCACCTGTGCTTTATTTAATTGATTCATACAGATTCTTGTCATTAAAGTATATTTATTGTGTTCATTCTCTCTGTGTTGCATTTATTGGATGGTTTATTTCCCCACCCTCCTTCTTTTCTTGAGCATTACAGACCTAATCAGGGAGAAATAGTCTAAAATCCTGTGGAAATACACCTGCTGAGGCTTTTTGTCCTTTCTCATAGGTGCTAACAGACATCAGGGCTGACAAAGACCAAGCCAATGATGGTCTTTCCTCTTCATTGCTGATTTTGTATTTGGATTCAGCAAGGAACCTTCCGGTAGGTAATGCCATGGGAGCTCCCTTGGGTGCTCCTTTCCTGGTAGCAGATCTTGCTGCATTCACCCACACTGTGTCACCTGTTACTGTTCCTCTGTTTTCACTTCACTCCCACCTGGGAGAGCAGCATGGGGGAGGGAGGGATCAGCATGTATTTGCTTCATGAGTATAATTTCGGTTTATACATCTTATGGATTTATCCAGGATGTTCAGAATTATTCTTACTCTGACATGTTTTATGAAGAAATTTCCATTACATAGGAAAAGAATGTGCCTGGTAGTTAGGGAAGAAGATATTCTGTAGAAAATCACTAGTTATTAAAATAGAGTGACCTAAAGATTTGGAAATTGTCTGTTTGGCATGGGAATAAAATGAAGCAGCTCTGCCTACAAGCCCAGAGTCCATCCTGGCTGTAGCTGGTAGGACGACAGACGGGCAGGCTGGGAGAGCAGGGCCTTTGTAGAGCCTCAGGTGATCAGTCCTACTCGGCTCCTGCAGCCCACAGCAAGTGCTCCGGCTCATTTGCATCAGAACTGCTTCGCTCTTAGAAATAGCCTTCGTAGGTAATGACTATAACTGGGGGGAAGAAAAATCATACTATTTCCATTCATGTGAGGCCCGATGTGATCCTCCATCACCATACTTTAAACCCACTATTTAGGATAATGTGATCATTATAGACACATACATTGTTTTGATCATATTTTTTTTAGTGCCAGTTCACTTATTCAAGAGATGGCCATTCTTATTTCATTTGGTGAAAGAAAGACTACAGATACAGGCTGTTTTCCCCCCCAAATTATAGTAAATTCTCATCCATCCAAGTGCATTTGCGTGTAGTCTCCCTGTGTCCTCCCCTTGTTGGCATACACGTGGTAGAGACAGACGAGGAAGCCAAGTGTTCACTGCCCTTCACAGTTTGCATCTGAGTGTCTCCTGTTGGACTGTGCCTAGCCTCACCTCACCACAGCTAGACTGTTCCTTTGTCCCACGAAATACACACCCTAGTTTCACTAGTGCCTTTCAGGACTTTACGGTGGTGCTTTACTTGCACTTAGCTCAAAACCAAATAAAGGTACTTTGTGCATCTCTTTTATTTAAAGTTTTTAACAAAATGTAATTGATCATTTTTTTATACTGGGAAGATATAGTTGAACACTGTGTGTGATTATGTATAATTGTACTCTTTATTTCAGTGAAGGTTTTTTGACTGACTTTAACTTCACAAATTCTTATTTTTTCTTAAAGTGTTACCTTAACCTTTTGGCTAGTCTTCCAGTTAGAACTCTGTGACTTTTTCTGTTACAATTTCAACTTGGGGAAAGTTATTTTGTTACTATTTAACCTTCCTACAGAATTTTTCATACAGTAGAACTTTTTTGTTTTTAATCACAGTAATGTTTGTTATAAAGTCTTTTATAATCCCTGATGGAAGTGAATTTGTTGTATATTTTAGGATACAAGGAATAGTATTAGTGAATTGGCAAGAAGGAATTAGGCCTCTTTCGAACTGTGTATTTTGTCACATTAAATTGAAATTTAAATAACATCACGTAAGCAAAACAAAAGCAGAAGTAAATTTATTAATCTATTAAAATGACACTTTGTGCATGAAGTGTGCTCTGGCTGTCAGAGGCAAAGGATCTTTGCAAAACCGCTGCCCTGTTGGGTGTTTATTTTAAACGGGAGCGTTTGCCAACCAGTTCTCCTGCGTTTCTGTGGGATGCTTTGACTCTGCCTTTTGCACTCCTATTTTTTAGTGCTTCTTGTGCGTTCATTGACCGCAATCCACCATTCTTTGCTTTCTCCTCCTGTTTCCACTTTCCTAAGAGTATCTACGAGGGAAACTTTGGGTGTGGCTACTTAAAAGAGAGGCGAGCGTCGGGACTAGTGTTTTGTGAAAATACTACCTCAGTCTATAGAGCACTATTTGTGAGTTCTCCAGTGTTCTTTCTTCCTTTTGTTTTAATGGAGACTGCTAGAATGTGGGCTGGGACTTCTAACACCATCTACTCGGTGGTGGAATGGTGTGGCATGCGTTTTTAACTTTCTTGCATGATTTCAGTTACTTTGTGTGTGTTTCTTTTGTGCTTGTTTTGTAAAAGTAACACTGCTGTAACCAACTTTGGTGACTACATCTGATGATGAGATGAACAAACCTGGTGAGTCATGAAGAAGCCTTACGTTCCTAAGCTGCTACCGGCCCATAAAAAAAAGATAAAAATTCTGAGGAAAAAATGAAGCCATAATGATTAAAACTGATTTTCTTGTGGTTCATCTCAATGTGAGATGTAAATATTTATTTGCAAGCTTTCAGAAAACTTCCTTAAATCTACTTTTCCTCCTGACGAAACACAGAAGTGTCAGAATGTGGTTTTCCTGAAAGGTGCCAACTGTGCCCGAAGGGATGGTCAGTGAAGACAGAAGTCCACCTGTTACCCTGGAAACTTACCTTCTCCCTCACTTTTTAACCAGTGCTCCTAAGGGAGAAAAAAATATATTGAGTTTATGATTCAGCTTCTCTTAAGGAACTTAAAAGAATTTCCAGGAGTGGATAATTGAGCATTTCTAACCCTTATTTGGGAAGCTGATTCTGATCTCATTATGTCTGTTTCCTGGGGTCTTGCTCTGGGGCCTTGATTCCTGGTACTGTTCTTGATGCTTTTAGCAGGTAGTGATTTTTACTTGCTTTGAGGTCAGAGAAGGTCACCAGTGGCTTAGTCATTAGTCTAGAAAGTTACTCTTTCTAGACTGATTTAATCAGTAACTACTGAGATCCTTAAAGTTCTTTGGCCTTTGAATCTAATAGTGGTAGTGCTTTGCATTTTTGAAGAGTTTTCATTTCTATTTCCATGTGCATTTTCAGTTTATTCTTATCTAAAAAAGAAGGGGGGCAAAAATTGAAGAATAGGTATTTTGTCCCATTTTATAGCTGAGGGAAATCAAGACCCTGAAGGGTTTGGTGAGCTGTTGAGAGTCACGTAGGTAGGAGATGGTAACCACGGTCTCCTCACTCTTTGCTTGTTCCTCTTAAAGACATTTTAAAAGTCAGAATGAAGTCACTGGTGCCTATTGCAACCATTCTCCGTCACTTTTTCATACAATGCCTTTCTGTTTCGGGTGTTTCTTAGTGGCAAGTTGTACCGTACGCCGTGTCTGTAGACGGCAGAATGCCTCTGCCGCGCAAATTCTGTTGGTCTGCGGTAGCTTCCCTAAGTTACCTTTTCTCATTCTGTAACTGCTTTTTTTAAAGGAAATATTTCTGACCTTGTGTCAGGATTTTTTAATTGCTTTATAATATTTAGCTAAGACATTGCTAGGTTATCAAAACTACCTTTTCTCCTGCATTATCAAAATCATATACTAGTACTGCTCAATGATTCAAATATAGGCATCAGTAAAATGTTTTATAAAATAAATTTGAACGGATTTGATTACCTTTTTTCTTTTTTAACCCATTGGTTTTCAGTGTGAAGTTAAATCATTGCTTTCTGTTTTCCCCCAAAGGCCTGAGACCGTTGGTATTTCTAATAAAGGCCAGGCACAATGGACTCTTAGCTTCTACCTACTCAGAATACCTAATTTCCAACCCTATGTGTGCATTACCACCAGGGAGGCCATCTGTAAACCCTTAGCACTACAGGACTTTCTCCCGTACTGGAAACAGCCCCTTGACAATGTAGACTGTCAGCACTTTGCCCTCCTTCTTTTGATCAAATTTTGGGCTGAATTTGAAACTGGAACGCTCAGGGTGTTCTCTGGCTCCCAGTGGCTAAGCAGCTTTACAACCTGAGATTTATACAATAGCCTACATTTGCTGAGCACCTTCCACGGTCTCTAGCTGTATGCCTCATTTAGTCTCAGGCCCTCATGATCACTTTTCAAATAAGGAAACTAAGACAACACATAGACTGTGAGCGACTGAGGTTGGAGACCCCAGATCACAGCTAGTCAGTAGCAGAGCTGGAATTTGAACTCCGCTGTCTACTCCATCCTAGTTTAAAGTGAATTCATTATCACTTCAAGTTTGTAAGTTCATAGAGCTGTCCATGGAGTTTATCTAAGATGAGTGTTCACACTGTCGCCTACTTTATACATAAAAATGCTAGCTATATAATGTGAAGACCATTGGGTTTGATGATGCTAGGTGCCATCTCACTTTTTAAAAGTACAGGTGGCATTACTTTAAAATCTTTAAAAACAAAGCGGGGGCACCCAGCTGACTTAGTTGGGAGCACATGCAAGTCTTAATCTCGGGGTTGTGAGTTAAAATCCCACACTGGGTGTAGAGACTACTTAAAAACAAAAGTCTTTAAAAAATACAGGTAGCTGTTACTGCTTCCACTTATGGGAAACAGCCCAAGGGTGGAAGGTGCAGTAACATCCAGGGCTCACAGTGGGCTTGTATGAGTGCACCAGTGTGATCTGGCCTGTCTCTCCTTCAAGCCTGTGCAGCTTCCCACGATCTCACAGTGCTCCTCTAGCACCCTGACCTGCACCACGGCCTCTCTCGTGTTGCTTTCACTGATGCATGTCAGAATAATATGTGCACTTAGCCTAGATTACATCTATCCAAAGTGAGCTTCAGAAAAGGTTCTTATGACACCTGAAGATTGTCAGTCCTCACACCTCAGCGCAGTGGTCCCAGCCTCACCTGTCCAGGCTCCTGCTAGAGTCCAGTCTGGTGGGTCCCGTATTTTTGAAGCTCCGCAGGCCACCTCAGTGATCTGGCCTTTATGTCACATTAATTCCTTTTGGCCAAATGTTTTTATCTTCTCATCTGGAGCAGCCTGCCATGGCCACAGGAGGCAGGGAAGCTAGTTGTCCATCTTTCTTCGTTATGAAATCTGCTGTTTAATGAAAACATAATAAAAGCAGTTTGTCATATGAAGGTAATTACAACTAACATGATAAAATCTTTAATCTTAAATGTTAATCCTGGAAGGAGCTTGTGAAACAACTCAGTCTTGCCCTCTTGAAGGCAAGAAAGTAATGAATTTTTTTAAAAGTCAATAAAAGTAGAACATAAAACCCATAATAATAGAACTTTAAAGCCAGGACAGACTTTTGAAATGATGTGATCAGCTTCTGCATTTGATGCTTGGAAGAGAATGGGAGTGAAGTAGAGAAGGCCCACCCCTGCTGTGGTCTTACACGAAGAAGGTAAATTTCAGAAGGAAGTAAAATAGCATCTGCTAGGCTAGGGTATGAGCTGACTTGAGAGCAATTTGGGCATATAGAGCCCATTCGTTTGTAGTTTAGGTAAAGCCTGTATTGTATATATGGTTGATATTTTAGGGGTTTATTCAAGTAAAGGATAGTAAATAGAACCCTTTCTTAAAGTGTCACTCCTGGGTTTTTCAAATCTCAAAGACAAGAGGGCTGGGAGTATAAAAAGAACAGTAATCCTAAAGGATCCTAGTAATCCTAGAGGAAATGTGTTTTGATATTTATAAAGGCTTATTCTAAGATAAAATCTTGGGCATAGAGAATTTTATGTGCTAAAAATGAGTTCTACTGGTTTTTTGTGTCATTCTTGTTGGTGATTTTCATTTAAAGATTTTTTCGTTCTCATAAATTTTCGTGTCATTAACCTTACATAAACTCCTCATTGCATGTTTTATTAACCCTTGGTATATTCATTTTCTTCTGACTTGAAAGAGTAACCCATTAGAATTTAACCCTGATGTCTTGAAGAAGTCTGCAGTTCAGAAAGCTTTAAAGGTAAACTAATAGCTTTTCCCTTTGAAAAGTTAATTGAAACATATTGAAAGAGATGATGCTTTTTAATTTTCGTGGGTCTATTGACAAATTGCCTCCCTACTAATGTAGTAATCAGTTGTCTAGTTAGAGGAATCCTTTTTGTTACCCAAGAATTAGTAGTTAGAAGAATTTGTCAAGTTTGAAGATAAATTTTATAAAGTACCAATGTGATAAATTAGACTTCTGTCCTATTGGCCTTAGGCAGCAGTATCTAAGATGGTTTTAAATCATCTGCATTTTAATTGGATTTGAATTTGTGAAAATGGTGAAATAGAAGGTTTATTTAAAAACTTAACCAGTTTCTAGATTATGATTTCCAGACATTTCTTTCTTGTGCACTGTGACTATCCATATAGAAATCACCTCTTCCAATATGCTGAGTTAGGGCCGTTTCTTAGTCGGTGACCTCATGGCTTTTGGTGCTGCTGGGTTTGGGTGACAGATCTTTCGAGAAGCTTTAAATTTCATTAAATGAGGTATATTGAAAACTAAGCTCCACTCCCTAAAACAACATGAATATGTATTTTCTGGCTAAATTGTTAACTTTTCCATGACTTACAGTGTTTTTTTATTTTTTCTCTGATTTCTTTGAACATTTTAGGCTTAAATATTTGGGGAGGGGTGGATTAAATGTTAATTGTGTTAAGAAAATTCTATCCAAAGGGATCAGGAATGGTTCTTTATCAGCTTCATGTAGGAAAATAAGTTCAGTTTTAAAAGTGAGGAAGACAAACAGCGTCTGCTTTCTGACCTAATATTTATTAAGCCCTTACCTACCCTGAGATGAAGTGTGGCCTACCAGTGATTTACTCCTTTGCAGTACTAGTTAGCACGGCAGTTGAAATAACTGCTCCCAGAACACTGGAAGGAATTAGATCAGCAGTCTCTCCTCACCATTTCTTTGATATCTGAGGGTCATTAACCAGCAAGACATTATGGTTGGCATGAAGGCAGATTGGATTTGGACTGCAGTCTGGCCTACTCATCCGTGTGTGCTACAGCGAGATGTTCAGCCCTCGGTTACTTACAGACTGGAAGTGATACGGTCTTTTTTGGGGTATCCGTAAATAAGATCATGCATGTAAAAGAGCTCAGTGTAGCTATTAGTTGTTATGACATCATTCCATTTAAACCTGGCTTTTTTGCTATTGTGTCCATCTTTTTTAGACATGAAAACCAAGGTGCAAATAGATGAAATATGTAGGTCTCAATAATCATTTGCAAACAGCTGAAATTTAATTCGAGACAGTCTAACTTAAAAACTCGTATTTCTGGGGTGCCTGGCTGGCTCAGTCAGTAGAGCATGTGACTCTTAATCACAGGGTTGTGAGTTCAAGCCCCACGTTGGGCATGGAGACTACTTAAAATAAAATGTTTAAAAAAATAAAAACTCATATTTTCATTTTACTTATATATCTGACTTGTGCTCATGCATTTTGAATATTGCATCATGGTAGAAGACTTAGTGATTTTACCTTATTTCATGAAATCTAAAACATCATTTAAAAATACACCATTATTTTATATACCACAAGAAAGAAAAGTTCCTATTAAGGCTTGATAGTGTTTATGTTTATTGGAAGAATTTTTAGGCTTAGGATAAATACAGATTTTTATTATGTCACACACAACAAAAGGAAAATGGAAGCAAAATAAATCAGTTAAAGCAAGAACAACTATCTCACAATTGGGACCTGCGTAAAAACAGGTACATAAAGTTACCAACTGTAAGTTTTATTCTGTTTTCAAGGGATGTTAGAAAGTTAAAAAAAAAAAAAAAAGTGTGTCTCCGAATTGATAAGGTACAGTAACTCTAGGAATGGATGGCTACCTTTTCAGAGATGAAGTAACTTATATTAGCCAAGAAGCAGTTTTTGTATCAGTGCAGTTGCTGTATCAGAAGCCACTGTAGCCTAAGACAGTTTTATTTCCCTGGAATGTAATAGAATCCTGGCCCGTAGTGCTGCCGTTCAGCTCTGCCGTTCAGTTCCTCCAGCCGAAAGTAGCATCATCGCAAAGGGAGGATGCCCCTCCTTGAAGGCCAGACTGTTACCTGGCCACACCCAACTGCAAGGGAAGTTCAGAAATAGAATTTTCATGTACAGAGGACTTGTGCTCAGGTGGAACTCCGGGCTTCCAGTATTAAAGGAAGGATTTAGGGGAAAAGTTAGTATTCTCTGCCATAGTAGTCTATAGCCTTGGGTATTTTTTTTAACAATATTTATTTCATTTTGCAGAATTTATTCTCATCAAAAAGATGAACCAGAAAATAAATTACCACAGTATGTTTGGGCCAGTAATATTTTATTCTGATAATCATATGAATTTGATGCCTACTTCTGTCATTGCTGCAGTGTTGAGGATTGACTCTGAAATTGTTTAACTAAAAAATACTTTTGTGACCTTCTAATAAATTCCCACTAACAGATATTTAACTGCATCTTCTTGTGGGGCTAAGTTATAAATAAACCTCATGTCCCATATATGTTGTGTTTTACGATGTTCTATCACCTGTCTGCTAAAGTATGCTTCTTACCATTTTTTTCTTATTCCTGAATTTTTCTCATATTTATATGTACTTAATTTAATGCAATTCTAGATTGATGTTTATTCTTCCAGTCAGAATTACTTAGGAGCTGGTAAGCAAGATTTGATATCTGATAGCTACATGTTTGCACAGAATGTACTAAGTTAAAAACATGAAGACATCTCTCATACTTTGTAGTATTTTTATTATTTCAACCAGCGACTGTTCTGAATTGTACATTTCTCCGTTTGCCCTTCCTCATGCTTTTCTGTTTCCATTCGCTGCACTTACTCATCTTCTTATGCGAGTAAGATAAATTTTGAGAGTTGGAATTAGCATTAAAGATTTTTGGAAGATTTCATTTTTCCAAAGTAACTTGCTTTAAAAATAAAAGACCTTAGCATTTAAAAATCATATACAAACGGGAATTTTCTTAATTTATCTCATGGTAGATAACAATTTTGCTTTCGGATATGCTCAGCTATTATTTTCCGATTAAATTCTTCCCAGATATTCCCTGTAACTGAAGTATCAGAAATAAATAAAAATGATTATTAATATGAGCCAATAATCTCCTTTTTAGTAAGCCCCATTTCAAGATGTGTGTGCTTACTTATTTTGTCTGGTTTTGTTTTTGGATAGTCAGGGAAGAAAATAAACAGCAATCCAAACCCTCTCGTCCAGATGTCAGTTGGACACAAGGCCCAGGAGAGCAAGGTAAGATTCTCACTAGTTTCCTGTGATGTCACTGTCGCCGGTTTTAGATGCAAACAATCAGCTGGCTGATGTTATAGGTTTGAGATCATTGATTTCCATATCTTTCTCTTGTTTTCTCAAATCAGTCAACTCATAGATAGCCATACTTCTTTATTGGGTTAACAAATATATTGTTCATTTTTAAAAATAACACTAAAAAATATAATATGCTTTTTGGCTTGATTTCATGGATAAATGACATGGGATAAATTTCTAAGTTTCCTTTGAAAGCTCTGTAAATATGTTGTTTGAAAGATAACCAACAGTCCTTGAAATTCAACAAACACAATTCTATTCAAGAATTGACAGGCATTACTGTTGCTGTAATGTCTTCCGCTTTCTTAATATAAGAAAAGCATTTCAGGAATTATTTAAAGTTATAGGCCATTGCTCACTTTTAAATGTTCACAGTTTAGGGAGCTTCGTGACCACCAGCATTATGTAGAGGAAGAGGTAGAACAGAGGGCAGACAGAGCAGATGAGGTCTTGTCATTGGGGTGGGCATACAGTTGGAATTTCCTAACAGTTAATTTCCCTGACCCACTTTGGACCATCTCCATCTTTGAACACTTTCACAATTAATATATAATAGCACATGCTCAGTAAATAAATGTCTTGGAATTTAATTAAAGTCATCCTAAGCTTCCAAACACAGTAAATGAATAAACAAAGTCTTGGTATCTCTTTTCCACATAAAATATCACAGAGCTGATATTTGGTCATTTCTTTCAGATTCGATACAAAACCAATGAACCTGTGTGGGAGGAAAACTTCACCTTCTTCATTCACAATCCCAAGCGCCAGGACCTTGAAGTCGAGGTATTTTATTTGCATTTTTTAATCGAATTGTAGAAATATAACCAACATACAAGTCACTGCACAGATGTAAAGGGTATAATTTATGGGACTCATCATCATAATCGATAAATCTTTGTCAGACTTACCCCTAAGTATTTCATGCCTTTTGACATGTAATTTTTTTTCAATTTTCAACTTTTGATGCTTGTTTCTAGTATCTAGAAATGCAGCTGACTTTTGTATATTGATATTGTACTTGGTTATTCTCAGCTTTTTATGGATACTTTAGGATTGCCTTCTATATGGCAGTCACGTTTTCTGCTAATGATGTCACTTCTACTTCTGTGTTTCCAGTCTGGGTACCTTTCACTTCCTTTTCTTGCCTTGTTGCCCTGCCGTGGCCCTCCCACCTCTGGAGTGAGTAGACATCTTCGCCTCCTTCCCAATCTTAAGGGGAGAGCCTCAGGATTTCACCATTAAGTCTGTTGTTTTCAGAAGTTTTCTTCTACTCCAGCTACTAACTAGTTTGCTCAGTGTTTTTTTCATGAATGTATGTTGAATTTTCTCAAAGGCTTTTCTAAAGCTATTGAGATGATCATACAGCTTTTTTTTTTTTATGTTTGTAAATACGGTAAAATATATTGTTGATTTTCAAATGTTAAACCTTGCAAACCTTTATTTGGGGATAAACTCCACTTGGTCATGATGAGGTATCCTTTTTTATGTATTCAATTTAACTTGCTAAAATTTTGTGACGAATTTTTGTATCTTAGTCATGAAGGATACTATCTATAAATTTGTTTTCCTATAATGCTAGTTTTTGTATCAGGGTAATGCTGTCTTCATAGAACGATTTGGTCAGTGTTCTCTCCTGGGTATTTTTCTAGAAGAGTTTATGTAGAATTGGGTTTTTTTCCTCACGTGCTTGGAGAATTCCACCAGTGAAGCCATCTTGGCCTGTAGTTTTATAAGAAGGCATTTAAATACAAAATAATTTCCAATAATATAGATCTGTCTAGGTTATCTATTTTTTCTTGATGATTTTTTTTATTTATGCCTTTCAAGGAATTCATCCATTTCATCTAAATTGTTGAATTTCTTGGCACAACATTATTCAGAATATCCCTTTAATGTCCCAGGAAGATGTCCCCTTTCTTGTTCCTGATATTGGTAATTTTCCTGTTCCCTCTATTTCCCCTGATCAGTGTGGCAAAAGGTTTATCAGTTTTATTTTCTTAAAGGACTGTCTTGCATTGTTTCTGATGAAAAGTCTGCTGTTGTTAAAGTTTAGAAAATTTTTGGCCAGTACTTCCTCAAATTTTTCCCTGCCTCAAGTGTCTCTTCTGTTGTCAATCCCATCCTGTGTGTTTTTCATCTCAGACATATTTTTCATCTTAGAAGTAAACATTTGGATCTTTTTCTCTTCCGTGTCTTTCCTGTACCTTCTCGTGTTTAGTGTGTGAGAGTTTTTGGTGCCTTGTTACTCATTCTGTCATCTGTATAATTGCTGGATCTACTTCTACGAATTACTTTCCCTCATTTTGGGTCATATATTCCTGCTGCTTTGGTTGCCTGGTCATTTTTCATTGTGAATTTTACATTATTGAGTGCTGGGTTTTTGTATTCCTTCAAATATTTTGGAGCTTTGTTCTCATTTGCAAGTAAGTCACTTGGACACTGAGCCTTTCAAGGTTTGATTTAAGTTTTGTTAGGCAGGCCCGACAGCCTTTAATCTTGGGATCCTGTGGCCTTGCTAATCTGAGCCCTAATGTTATGAGATTTCTCATCCCTGTTTGGAATGGATACTGTCCGCAGCCCTTTGTGCTCTGGGAATTGTCCCCTGCTCCTCCTGGGGCATCTTTCCTGGCCTCAGGTAGTTTGCTCCCTCGTGTGCTGATTGGCTGAAGATGAGGGGTCTTCAGAGGCCTCCAGCTCTCTCTGGAACCTCCTGCTCCCTGATTTCTTCACCCTTCTTCACTCAGGGCAACCACTCACATCTCGCTGGGGTCCTCATGCCAGAACCATGGCCTGGACACCATCTAGGCAGGAAATAGTTGTCAGGCTCATCTCACTTGGTTTCCATGCTCTCAGGGCACTCCTGTGTCCAGTGTCTCACGTTGTCCAGCCTAGAACCCATCATCCCAAACGTTTTGTCTGGTTCTTAAGCTAACATGGGTGATAAATTTAGGTCTGGCTACTCATCGTGGCCAGAAGTAGAAGTCCTCTGCATGTTTGAACATATATAATATATATAAATTATATACTTGGGAGGAATCCGAGCTTCTTGAATGTACGCTTGTTACTCTCAGTGGTCATATATTCTGCCCTCCTGTCACATTAGCTTAGCTTCAAGGAAAGCGCCAAGTGGATCACACAGCTTGTGTGCTCATTCCCGTTGCCGGCATACTAAACATGCCAGTCTAAACAATCCTAATTCCCCCCCCCCCCTTTTTTTGGTTATGTCCTATTTCCCAGCATTCAGTCTTTGAGAATTTTAAGGGCTTTCATTTTCTGTTTGGCTTGTACAACTCTGACTTCGTTCCCCAGCCTCTTGAGATCGTGAGGTCTGAGAGGGCATGTCCTGCAGTGGGGTTAGGGTTAGCTCCTTGACTATCGGTCATGCCCAGCCTGGTCCATTATCCTGTGTTTGCTGTTTTATATTTCTACATTCTGTTTTATATGGAATATATATGTTTAGCTAATTGTTGTATTTTGTATTTCTCTAGCTAATTTTTTCTTCATAAATCACACTATTTTTCAAATAATTACAAGATCTTCAATTTTATTATTTTTTTAAGATTTTATTTATTTAAGGGACTCCTGGGTGGCTCAGTTGGTTAAGTGTCTTGCCTTCAGCTCAGGTCATGATCTCAGGTCCTGGGATGGAGCCCCACAGCTGGCTCCTTGCTCAGCAGAGAGCCTGCTTCTCCCTCTCCCTCAGCTGCTCCCCCTGCTTGTGCTCTCTGTCAAATAAATAAATGAAATCTTTTTAAAAGATAAAAGGCACTTAGAAATGTTTTTCTCCATAAACAAGTATCACCAGTAGAAACTTGATAGACGCATCACCATGAATGTGTATTGTCACCATTTTCACAGAATTTAAGATGTGTCTTCCTAATCTTCAGATCTGTGTAGACTGCTGCCTCTCAACTCAGGGTTCTAATGGATTCCTAAAACACAGTGTTCCTTTTGTGCTCATTATAACTGTGTGGTGAGGAATTAACAGGCACATGGGGCTTGAACACACCGTAACCTCACTCATCACAGTTCTGAGGGTGTCCATTGTGTCAGTCATTTATGAGAACCCTACCCAGAGATGGCGGAAGTGCTTTTTTTTAAAGACTGGATTTTGGACATTTAAATGCTTTCTGTCTTTTTTTTTTTTTTTTAAGATTTTATTTATTCATTTGAGACACACACACACAGAGAGAGAGAGGGCATGAGCAGGGGGAGAGACAGAGGGAGAGGGAGAAGCAGGCTCCCCGCTGAGCCAGGAGCCTGACGTGGGGCTCGATCCCAGGACCCTGGGATCATGACCTGAGCCGAAGGCAGACGCTTAACCATCTGAGCCACCCAGGTGCCCCTGCTTTCTGTCTTTACCTTCAGAGCTAAGTGTGTTCTGTCGTGTGTCCCTCAGGTCAAAGATGAACAGCATCAGTGTTCTCTGGGGCATCTGAAGATCCCTCTCAGTCAGCTGCTCACCAGCGATGACATGACCATGAACCAGCGATTCCAGCTCAGTAATTCAGGTCCCAACAGCACTCTGAAGATGAAGATCGCCCTCAGGGTACTGTAGTCTGCTGCACGTGCAGGAGTGGACGGGGAGACAGGCAGCACTGCCAACGCTCACGGGCCCTGCCCCAGAGTGTGGCAGAGGGCACCGGGCACTCACCTGGGGAGCGAGGAAACCACTGCTGACGGTTTCCGGGTGCCTAAGGGAGAGCTGATTGAGGCCTGGACCCAGACCTCTGCCCAAGCTGGTATTTCCAGATTGCTTGAGCAGGCCAAGTTAAATTTTCAAAGGTCATTCAGGAGAGAAAATTTAATAAAATTCTACAAGGTGGTAGAAATTAGAAACAAAAATTTTTTTGTCTAAAATAGACAATGATTCTTGTGAGTGTCTAAGGAATGTTCAAAATAAAGTTGGCAAACATGAAAAATGCTAAAACTCACTGACTTTTAAAATGCAAATTAAAAAGAACCCACTTTTTAAAAAATTAAAGCAGACTTAGTGGAGGGTGCAGTGTACATGGTCTCTTTGCACTTGGTCCCAATTCTGGGAATCGGCACAGTTTCTCCAGAAAGGCCTGCAGTGTCTCCAGGCCATAAGCGATAGGGCCCCTTGAACCAAGAACCCTTTCTCTGCAAATCTGACTTTCAGGAGGAAGACACAATGCAGACAGACCACGAACATGAAGATGTTTTCTGCAGCTTTATTTTATAAAAGCGGGAAAAGGTGACGCTGATACAGTAACCCCAGGGTGCAGGGTTTGTGAGTGCAGGCTCTGCTCAGTGGAGTATTGCATACCCGGACACTACAGATGAAAGCCAGCAAAGCAAAGGGTCCGCGTGCTCACACAGGCTGGGGAGCGCGAGGCCTGCTCCCGCATGGAGGCTGCTCTGTGTGGTGGCCCCCCGGAGAGGGTGTCCTCGCCTCTCGTCCGTGCTCGGGGGCACTCGGCTCAGGCTCACCCAGCAGTGACTGCACCCCACAACCGTGCAGGAATGCGTGCAAATGGAGGAGGCTGAAGAGAGCACACAGATGTGACGTTCACATCATGGAAGTGATACTTTGATTCATTAGACTTTGCTTTTTCTAAACTGACTGTAATATGGCGTTATTTTAATAATAGAGTAGCTGGACATACACTAGACTGTTTATAATGTTTTGTGCCAACTTTTAAAGAAGCATTTGCAAATGAATAAATCTGAAGCCATTCGGGTAGCAGGCTATTCTAGCGTCCTTGATCTTAACTTCATGTTTATTTCCACCCCTAGGTACTCCAACTCGAAAAGCAAGAAAGGTCTCCAGACCACCAACACTCAGCTCAAGTAAAGCGACCCTCTGTTTCTAAGGAGGGGAGGAAAATATCAGTGAGATCTCAGATGTCTGCATCTCCAGGCTCCAGTGACAGCAACACAGCCCCATGCACGCCAGTCATTGGGAGTGGCGATAAGCCTGGCGTGGAAGAGAGAGCCCAGCCTGTGGAGGCCAGCCCCCAGGGGCCACGAGACCTGGGCAGAAGCTCCTCCAGCCTTCAGGCCAGTGCCACCTGCTCACCCAGCCATGTCTCCGTCAAGGAGCCCACCCCAAGCATAGCCTCAGACGTATCACTGCCCATCGCCACCCAGGAGCTTCGGCAGAGACTGCGGCAGCTAGAGAAGTAACTAGACGTCCCATCCCCTTTGTTCTTGTCAAACCAGAGCACGCACCTTTCATGCTGTAGGGAGGGAACATCATCTTAAGTTAGCTAAAAGAACTTCACGTGGCTTTGGCCTTTTGCTCACTGAGTCTTTGACTTTGAAAATAAACCTGCCGTTTTCTAGGACCTAATATTTGGCTCATTTGAGGATCAGGAAGCAGTGGGGTAACAGGTTCCATGAATAGGAAAGGGTCTGAAGCTGTGGTGTGGCTGTCCTCAGACCAGGAAGGCAGGATCTAGATCTGATGTGTGCTCTCAGCACAGCAATTGTGTCTGGGCTCTAAGTACAGGTCCTGTGTGCTCAGCGTTACGACCACTGGCCGTTGTTGTCTAGTGTTCAGATTCAAGATGTGCCCCAGGGTTCTTGAGAGAAGGAGGAAAACAGCTTACAGTTATCACAAGCTTCAGATGTTAGCCTTTTCCTCCCAGCGGAAGGAGTAAACTTGCCCTTTGAAGCCCATTCTTCCTGTCTGTTGTTCTCAGAGGTGTGTTGAGGAATCGGAAGTGGAGGCAGAGATGAAATGAGTGCTCCTGGGGGTAGAGGAAGCATGCAGGTCTGTGACCCACACTCAGCACGCTTTTTTCCTTCGTACCTTCTCACGTCCACTGTTATGGAAAAAAGAAGCCAGTCCCTTCCTGCAATTTTAAATAAGAAAGTACTTTTTATCAGGAGCCAAATGTGGGGAGTAGCTGGGATGATCTTGGGGGACGTTGCACTGGGGAAGCTGTTGGTGGCCTTGGGAGTCTGTGCTTCAACCCCGAGAGAGAGAAAGCGAGGGGTAGTGTTTTGTCAGAGAGGCTGCCAGTAAAAATCAGAGCAAGCAACGTGTGGGACTTTGAGAAAGCATACGTAGGTTTGGGTAGTGACGGAATTGATGTTTGTAATTAGGAGACCTCCGAGTCTCATCAGTTCTGAATGACTAAGTTATGTTGGAGCCTCATTTGAAATGTGGGTTCAGCTGGTTGATTAAGAGTCCGAAGTTCAAATTTTGTTCAAGTCCATGGGTAATTTGGTTCCTTCTTGTGCCAGTGACGCACAGGCCTTCAGTTCTGAGGAGAGCCGTAACTTTCTGCTTTGCTTCCCCAGTGGGACAACCCTGGGGCAGTCGCCCCTGGGGCAGATCCAGCTGACCATCCGGCACAGCTCACAGAGAAACAAGCTCGTGGTGGTGGTACACTCCTGCAGGTGAGCTGGGCACCCTGGGGCCCCAGGGTAGCCATTACATGGGGAACAAAATACTGAATTCTAGCCTCACCAAATAGATGAATTTATTTCATCTTTAAAGAACAAAGTCATGAGGTTGTACTGTAATCCTAGTATTCAGTGGTGTATTCTTGCTTTGTTCTCGACATTGTTTCATAAGTATCTTCTATTCATAACCATTCTGGTTGCTTTGTAATACACTCTTCAGCTGCCATCCTGGATGTTTAGATTGCCCACGTGTAACATAGTAACGAACATATCTTTCTTTTTTCTTGAAGTGTCTCTTTGGGATTAAATTTCCAGGAGTAAGTTTGTATCAATTCAGAGGATCCAAAAAAGTTTATGGGGTCATGATAGGTATTGCCAATAGTCTTTCAAGCTATTTCTGGAGCATACCAGTTGACATTGGCACCCAAGGGTACAGGTGTGCCTTTCCCACCCTACCCCCCCAATCGAGAACAGTTTATTGTGCAGTGTACTAATTTAGTAAGTGTAACATGAGATGACAGTGTTGCTTTAATTTGTATTAGATTAGTGATGATAGTATGCAGCCAACTAATTATTTCCCTTTTAGGTAGAAGTTATATAAAATGCATGACATAAATATTTGGATCTTATAAAAGACTGTTAGAAACATAGGAAGTTAGAATTAGTGACATTTAGAAATACTATATAAATGTAGGGTTCAGTTTTGTACCTGTTTATTGAGCACCTTATGTATTCTTGCTGTGAGGTAATTACTGTCATAGAGGACTCTCACCAGATAATCCCCTAAGTAGATTTTCAGGTTGATCAATAAGTGCGTAATTTGAAGTGGTTGCATGTAATTAAATGCTCGACTGTGTTTGGCTCAGACCAGTTGTCCTAGGAGAAGTGCAGCGTGGGCTGCACAAAGGAGGTGAAAGGTTCGGGAGAGCGAAGGACAGAGAGTGGAGTGAGCAGCCTGAGCCGGCACGGAGGAGGGTGTGTGGCCTCGCTGGGGCCTCCCGGAAGGCTGCTTCCCTTGGCTGTAAGGCCAACCATACTCCCTCACTGGGAGAAGACAGACAGTAAAGTACTGTGGAAATATAAACCAGCAGTTTCCATTTTCAAAGCAGAGCAAGGTATCAAAATGTCCCCCAAATACTGGGCTCAAGAAATGGAGGCAGAAGTCGCCTCCGCCAACAAGTGAGCACAGGGCAAAGACAGAAGCACACTTTGCTCCTTTGTGCTTCTCAGTGGTTTAGATAAATGGGAAATTAGAACAGTGAATTTGAACGTGACGCTGTCATTTTCCTAGATTCTAATATCTAGTGTTCTCTGGTTTGTGTCATAAGAAATCTCATTGCCTTCTCTGAAGATGGCTCTGACCCCTATGTCCGCATGTATTTGTTACCAGACAAGAGGAGATCAGGAAGGAGAAAAACACACGTGTCAAAGAAAACACTGAACCCCGTGTTTGACCAGAGGTATGGTGTTTACTCCAGTGGGGCGGGGGGGTGGGGGGGCAGACTATTGAATCCTCAAATAAGGAAGGCTCGATCAATACTCTTGAATGACTAACACATTCAAACCAGCACTGTTGGGAAGTATCAGTGAAAAACTCCAGATTAGCACCCACAGACTTGTCAGCATAAATAAATAAATACTTTGAACTTCATCTAGAAGCGCTAAACATAGTAAGTCCAAATTGTGAACATTGTGGAAGAGAGACTCATGAATGAGGACCTTAAAGAACTTTATTTTATGGGGTTGTATCTATTGATTTTTCTGAGTTATAAGTAAAAACTGAGAATTTAAAATTTTTTCTTCAGATTTTTATTTAAATTCTAGTTAGTGAACATACAATGTAATATTGGTTTCAGGAGTAGAATTCAGTGGTTCATCACTTACATACAACACCCAGTGCTCAATTTTACATTTTATTTTAAATAACAGTAATAAACCTATAACATCTTAAAATATTCTTCTGAAAAACTAGTTTCCAAAACAAAAAATATAAAAATGCATTATTGTTTAACATTTTTGCAGATCTCTCTAATGGTTTGTCTAAATAAAGGTCCTACTGCTTCTGCTGTCAGTCTGATGTGCTCATCTCTAGAGAGGGTCTCGGGGGCCTCCGGGGGCCTCAGGCCACATTTAAAGAAGCCTCAGTCTGTGCAAACTGGGTACCTTACATTATAGTCTCTGTAGCTAAAAATCCACCAGCATTTTGGGAAATAATATTAATTCAGATGGTGTCTGTCACTTGTGTTTACATTTATCTTTAAAGGGACTGGTCGTTTTATCATAACTTCATGCCAACAACTCTATCTAAACCAAGGTCATAAGCTGACGGGTGTGCACCAGATCCTGGTGTGGGTGTGTTTTGACAGTGTTCTCACTCAGCCCCCAGCATTTAAGGATTCAGAGACCCCACCTGCAAGTCTGGGTTTCTAGCTGCTCCAGCTCCATGGAAAGGCTGGCCGCATTCCAGCCACGTCCCTGCAGGGCCTCAGGCTCTCTGTCCTCTGGTTTACCAGAGACCCTGCCTCACAATGGCCGGACACCGGCCAGGACACCACTTGGTGCCCTGGAGGCATTTTGGTTTGTGGCGTCTGACTTCAGCCATTAAAAAGTGCACTGCAGATCTGTTCACTTCCGTGAGGCTGTGTCACTTAGTTCGTTCACCCAGGCGTTTTATTTAGCGTTCTGTAGTCTTTAGGCCTGGATGAGTGAACTGGTCTGGACCCTCTGCTGTGTCCTACAAACATACAGTCCCCCATCCTTATAACTAAATACAACAGCCCTCCCCACGCGTGAGGGAGCCACACGCAAGAGGGCCTTTCCCATATTTAGGGTGCAAGAGTCACCACGTATGTTTGGAAAATAATGGGAAAAAAATGTTTTTGAGTCTTCATGAAATGCCAGATCCAAAAACTGAATAGAACTCAACTGTGTAATAAAAAATCAACGTAACATTTGGAACTGTCTCATAAGCAGAAATGTCATTTTTTAGTTATAATAAAATACAATAAAATTATGGGGAAATTAAAGGAAGGTCCTCTTTTTTCCATGTCAGCTTTGATTTCAGTGTTTCATTACCAGAGGTACAGAGGAGAACGTTGGATGTAGCCGTGAAGAACAGTGGCGGCTTCCTGTCCAAAGATAAAGGGCTTCTTGGCAAAGTAAGTTTGAAAAATGTCCTTGGTCAGTTCCTATATTTTATAAACATTAAACACTTACCCAAAGTGCATTTTTTTTTTTAGACCATACTTAAATAAGTGGAGAGGGGTGAACTTCCTCTGTAATTATGCTTATTTATAAAATAGTGGACTATGAAAGACCATGTTGTCTAAAACCTGAGTACCTTTTGAAGATTATTTTTAAGTTTTCATTGTTTTTACATATTCATATTGTTGGCATATTACTCATCTAACAAATTAGTGGCTTTATTTCTCTGAATTTATTCTAGTCTTTGTCTAAACTCACATGTAACTCTTGCATAAGATTATATATTCTTTAATATTAAATGTACAAGAGGCCAAGTTGGGGAAGAGGAGTTTTCAGTTATGGATCCAGTTACCGGTGATCCGTCCCATCTGTGCTGCCGTGAATGGCACTTGAGCCAATATCCCTGTAAATTACCTGCACCGATTCTTCTTAAAAACTCAGTTTTGAGACTGCTGGATACAGGGTGGACTCTTGGATGTGATCCACTGTATCATTCATGGGGGGTCATCAGGGCCCAAAACACTGACAGAGCCTCAAGATAACAGAGAGGGGGTTCCGTCCTGAGGCAGGAAGAGGTTGGAAAGGCTGGGAGGACTGGGGGCGTGAGCAGGGGCTGCTCCACCCACTGTAACAAATGTTGTTCCACCAACAGGTGTTGGTTGGTCTGGCGTCTGAAGAACTAGCCAAGGGTTGGACCCAGTGGTGAGTGTCCCACCACAGACGAGTCCCGTGTGTTTACTTCACGACACTCTCCCCAGCTGACCTCACGTCTGTCCCCCTCTCCCTGTGCACCCCTAGGTACGACCTCACAGAAGATGGCACAAGACCACACGTGGTGACGTAGTCCATGCCGGGCGCGAGGAGCCCGCCCCGTGTCCCCACTCACACTGTGTGCTCAGAGCACACCATCCCGCACGTGTACCAACACTGTTTCTGTAATTCCAGTGTATTTAGTTATATAAATCTTCATAGTTTTATAAGCCATGTTGACGTTTTAGGCATATTTGGCCAATGTTATCATTAGATTTTGTATGTTTGATCTTCTGTAGCATTTCACCAGTTATTATAGCGTGTGGTAAGGTAGCAGTTAATTACTGCGTCACGTAAAGGTGTGTGTCAGTTACATCCAGTAGGAAGCAGATGTGTGTATATGCTTTACTGTTGCCTTGTTTTGTACACACTGAGGTACACTATGCCATGTAAATAGACTATTTTTTATAATCTCTACATGCTGGTTTGAATTCTGAAGAAAATGGATTAAGGAAATATATTTTTTTCTTCTAAAATGTATTAAATTCTTACGACAGATAATCATTTTGTCTTTGCAGGGTAAAGTTCTCAGTGACCAATTTTATGGTGTTTCTTTTTTTAAAAAAGGCTGAAAGTTTAAATATTAGTATTCTTCTGCCCATCATGAATGACGGAAGTATTCAAAATATTACCAGTTTCATAAATACAAAGATGTATTATTGAGAGTTAGTTGAAGTGCTTATAAGAAAAAGTGTGTAACTGAGTAATACAAAATACTAAGAGCCTTGTCATGATTCATAAATCATGATGCACTAATTTGAACTTTCTTATGTAAAATGAAATGTCTTAAGTTTATTTTTAATTGCTTGATATAACTTACTCATGAAGTAGTACACAGATACACAGTTATACTTCCTAAAATTTAATACAAATTTCCAGTGTTAGCACTTAGGCTATTGTGAAACCATCGGTCATGAGCTTTGTTAATTTTCAGTGTTTTCCCAGCCTGTGAAGACAGGCTTACACGGTCACCATAAGGTTTGTGGGGTAGATCTGGTAAGTAGGTAGGAGGTTGTTTTAAAAACCAGCGGCTCGTTCATTCATCCGTCGGTGCGACATCATCCGTCGGACCCTGTGCGCGAGGCCGGGGGGTTCCAGCACGGCGGCTGTTGACTTTAAATAACCATTTCCTGAGTCTCTTCACTTTACGCCGTGACTGACCTCAGTACTGGGATATGGTGATACCGTTTTTATTTTGGAATACTTGTTTTCTTCTTGGATTATTGCAGCATGTTTTAGGTCCTCGAGGCCCAGGCCTCTGAGGGGATGAGGCTCTGCATCAGTGTCGGCTGCGCATGTGTCTGAGAAGCGTGTGACGCGGACAACTTCTCAGCCGTGAGAACATTCTGTATCACGTATGCAGATGCTGGGGGAGTAGAGCTTTGCGACTGACTCTGGAGATCGTACCATAAGTCGTCTCGTGGACTCACGGACTGCTCGTGTGACCAAAATACCAAAGTGCCTGTGGTGGACGCTGATTGTTATTCCTGCGCACGTCTGCCTTCCAGCAGATTTCATGTTTGTTTTCATTTACACTTGGAACCGTGGGTTTGTTTATAATGGAGTCTGTAGTTCACAACACATTTCATGTAACCATAAAGACAGTATAATCTCACTGTTTCCTAGTTAATGGAACTTCACTATAAACCATGTCCAATGTACAGGAGGAAGTTTATTAATATATTGATGCACACATAAACATATGCACACAAAAAATTTAACTGTGGTATTTAGTAGCATGATAAAGGCAGGTAACTACTTATTAAATCTAGTTGCCTGCCCATGGTATTAGATTTATTAAAGATTTGTTTTTTTAATTCAGTCTGTTGAAGGGCTTCTGGCATAATCTATAAAAAGAGAACCACTCACTGAAATGCATCATACCAATAATTTTTTACCAACATCCTAAACATTTGGGTTTTGCAATCATGTGCTCACCAATAGGTACATATTTACTTTGTGGAATGCTTTATTTAAGTAATGAGGCAAAATAAATACAATGAAAGGTAGAAAGCCAGTTAGCAGCATGACACGTGCCTTGTGATACAGGGACTGGGGAGCCTGGAGACAGACCCATCTGCAGGTTCTGAGGCCTCTGGCAGCGGGCTTCATTCTGCTTAAGAGGAAAGAAAGAAGGAAAGGGACAATTCTAAAGACATAAAACGTTTCCCGATGTGATCCTGTCTTTTGTGGCAAGAAGAGCATTCAACGAGAAGCTCTTTTACCCTGTGGGGAGGGTTGAGAATTACTGTCGAGGCCAGACTCCAGGATCCTGGTGATGGAGAACACTTGAATTCTCAAAATGTTCATCACTGGTTCAATAATAGGTTCATCCAGGAAAAGGGAACGTTAACTTTTCTATATTAAGCCAAACCAATGGGAGGAAATTGAATTCTGTTAGTTTATACATGTGGTTGCCTATCCTGTGCCTTAAAGTATGGAAGTTTGGCGGCATTGTTTTCAAGTTTCAGATCATAGCTGTATTCACTTTATATTCTATACTAGGAGAATTCATTTTGCAGATATGCTTCATCAGGAGGTCAGCCCTTCTCCAAGAACCTAAGCTCAGTGTAGACCAGCGTGTATAAACTCTGGTCGTCACCCACTGCAAATGGAAAACAGAGGGTTTTTTTAAATTACTATGATAGAATGTCCTTTTTGATCAACTAATTTTACATGACAATGCATGTATTTATTCAATAAACTTTTATGTTCGCTAACTTGTGATTTGTTTTTCCTTTGTCTTTTGAAATGAAGTTTTTAGTGTGGGATCAAATGATTTGAAAAGGAGATACAGTACATTATTTATCCGTGCTGTGTGTGAATTCTTTCATTTCCAAAAGAACATGAGATCATTGATCCTAGTCCTCTTGTGCCCATCTTTTTAGTCTTCATGCCCAAGGTGGGGCTCAAATCTACAACCCTGAGATCAAGAGTCAGATGCTCTACCAACTGGGCCAGCCAGGTGCCCCTCTCTTGTTCCCATCTTAATTTGACTCTCCTCTGCCTGCTTTAGACTTGGAGTCGTGAAAACAGCTCTTATGACAGACAATCACAAGTAGAAAAAAATAGTCTTTGAGGGTCTTTTGTACGTAGAGTTCTGAGAAGTGATGACCCAGAGAAAGGCTGGCTGGACCAGGTGGGAAAGCACTAGGCCGGGCCCTGCCGATGCCCACGGCCACTGCAAACCCGGCCCTTCTGGCTCCTTTACCATCTTCAACCAGACTGTGAATGTGGATGAACACGGGTGTTAGTTCCGGTCCCTGTGTTAATATTTACTCTGCGTTCTGCTTGATGCCAGTGACACACGTGGTCTCCCAGTTTCTATCTGCAGTACAGACTGCCGCGGGGCTGAGACCCGTCAACCCAGTGCCTCCTTGTAAGGCCTCACGGTGTGTCTGTCCGCGTCAGCCGAGGGGTTGGGGATGGACACCTAGACGGTACCTCTGCCTCCCTGTGCCTCTCTCCGTGTGCAGGTACCAGGTCCCTTAGTCCCACCCCGGAATACATCCGCTTGGCTGTCCTCCCGAGTCCAAGCCACTGCCCTTCCCCTCTGTCAGCTCCTGGCGCCAGCGCTTGGGCCTCCCCGCCCTGCATTCTCCATGCAACAACCAAAGGGATCTTTGAAAACACACCTCTAGGGGCGCCTGGGTGGCTCAGTCGTTAAAGCGTCTGCCTTCGGCTCAGGTCGTGATCCCGGGGTCCTGGGATCGAGCCCCGCATCGGGCTCCCTGCTCCACGGGAAGCCTGCTTCTCTCTCTCCCACTCCCCCTGCTTGTGGTCCCTCTCTCTCTGTCTCTCTCTGTCAAATAAGTAAATAAAATCTTTAAAAAAAAAAAAAACACACCTCTCTTTACTGCTCTCCATGCTCTTAGAAGAAAAACCAAGAGTGTATCAAGCTGTGAAACCCTTCCAATCCTTCTGCAGTGCCACTCATCCATGATACTTCCTCTCAGTTCCAGAAACTCCCCCCGCCCCTCCTTCCCGCCTCAGTGCCCACCTGCTCTTCCCCTGACACTGGCCTGGCTAACTCTCACTGCCCTTCGCTTCTCAGCAGAGTGCATTTCCTCGGCTGTCCCTGACCAGCACTCTCCCTTGTACAAGCTCTCTTAGCACCGTGCTGCTTTCATTCATATACTTAACATAATCACGGTTTTGCTTTATATAAAATCACATCCCAGATGCACTGTAAGCTCCCAAGGGCAGAGATTATGTGGGTGTTATTTAAATCTTTTTCCAGTGGCTTATCACTACTCTTGGCACCTGGTAAACAAACAACTGCTGGATGAGTTAGGTCTATAGTTTGGCAGACCGTAATGTTAATTTGTCTCAAGTTTCCATTTAAAGAAAGAGACACCTATTGACAGTTCTTAGTATTAAGTCTAAAGAGAAAGGTACTGATGGACATAAAAAAGAATACTATTGCAACAAAAAGCCAACAATGTTATTATCTGAGAAAGAAAAAATTGAGCACAAACGTGGAAAAGAGCCAGAAGTCTGCCTTTATTTGATGTTATTCTGGAAATCCTGGGCAATACGATATGAAAAAAAGATCAATTTTGTATGGGAGAAGTCATTTTCAAAATATGAGATTGTCTACCTGTAAAATCTAAGAAAGTGGGGCGCCTGGGTGGCTCAGTTGGTTAGGCAGCTGCCTTCGGCTCGGGTCATAATCCCGGGGTCCTGGGATGGAGCCCCGCGTCGGGCTCCCTGCTCAGTGGGGAGCCTGCTTCTCCCTCTCCCTCCGCCTGCCGCTCTGCCTACTTGTGTGCTTGCTTGCTCGCTCTCGCTTTCTCAAATAAAATCTTAAAAAAACTAAGAAAGTAATCTGAAAACTTAAGTGTTTAATAAGAGCCCAGTTATTAAACGTACAAATCTCTCTATGTCTCATACACTATTACTAGCTATTAGAAAACATAATGGGGGGGCACCTGGCTGGCTCAGTCGGTAGAACGTGCGACTCCTGATCTGGGGGTTGTGAGTTCAAGCTCCACATTGGGTGTAGAGATTAGGTAAAAGAAAAAGGAAATTATAATGCGAAAAAGTCATGCAGTGGCTTTGGGACTATGATAGCAGTGACCGCAGCCAAGCAGGAGAGCATGCAGACAGGTTTTAGGGCTCCTCCAGAGGCCCCGTCATCTGGGAACTGTCACTGTGTGACCGGTCTGGCTCCTGGGAAAACCGTATCAAAAACCATCAGTGGCAGTTCCGCAACATGGCGGCTGCTTGGGGCAGCGATACCAGTTAGGGCAAACGAGGCTGACCGCAACAATGTTAAGGGAAGTCAGAGATGAGATGCCCATTGAGGGCTTTGAAGAGTGCTGGCGTTCCTGGAGCTCTAGGAGGGTGGGTGCACCTGCGGAGCTGTGTGTGGCTGGAGCAGGCCAGGTCCTGAGGACTCACTGCTGGTCGTCCGCATTCGAGGAAATCTGTCCAATCCTTAGCTGACCAAAACAGCCAGCTGAGCAGAGACTTCAGAGGGAGCACATGACCAAGAAGGCAGCATGTAGAGCATTAACCCAAGAAAGTTGCTAAACCAGAAACAACAAAGTCAAGAGGGAGGGAATCTTACTTACAGAGTAGCCATACTGTTATTTCAAATGTCCAGTTTTCAACAAAAAGCCTTAAGATGTGCAAAGCCGCAGTAAAGGGTGGGCTGTATTGGGGAAAGCAGTAGGTGGAAAGTGTCCCTAAGGAAACCCAGATGTCGGGCATACGTGGACAGCTTGAATCAGCTGTTGTAAATACGTTCAAAGAAATGGAGAATTCAAGGCAAGTAGGAGAATAATGAAGAGTATCAGTAAAGAGAGAAATAATTAAAAGGATGAAATAGAAATTCTGGAGTTTACAAGTGAAATACAAAATTTACTAAAGGAGTTCAACGAATGTGAGCTAACAGAAGAGATCAGTGAAATCTCTGAGGAACAGAGCATGGCCACCACACTCACACAGCCGAGTCCCAGAGGGAGGTGGGGCGCAGGGCCAGAAAGGACAGGGCACAGGATGCCCGCCCAGCGCATGCCAGGTAGGCTCCACATAGAGAGTCTGCCCTGGGCACGTCGTGGTCGAGCCGGTGGAAGTCAAGGACAGTCTGAAAGCAGCAAAAGAGACTGTCTCGGGGCGCCTGGGTGGCTCAGCCGTTAAGCGTCTGCCTTCAGCTCAGGTCATGATCCCAGGATCCTGGGATCGAGCCCCGCATCGGGCTCCCTGCTCCGCGGGAAGCCTGCTTCTCCCTCTCCCACTCCCCCTGCTTGTGTTCCCTCTCTCGCTGTGTCTCTCTCTGTCACATAAATAAATAAAATCTTTAAAAAAAAAAAAAAAGAGACTGTCTCACCCTGGACTCCTCGATAAGACAGCTGCAGCCTCTCACCCGAAGCCGCGGAGGCCAACGCGGGGGGTGACAGATTCAGATGCTGGAAGAAAGACTCAGCCAAACGTCCTGTGTCCAACAAAACAGCCCTTCAGAAATGATGGTGAAACAGCCATTCCCAGATTAAAAAAAAAAAATTGTCCCTAGCCCACCTGCCCTCCAAGAAACACTAAAGGAGTTAACGTGGCCTTTTTGTGTTTGCGTACGTTTGTTCACGATTGCTCACGATTTTATGGCTCTCTTTGTACTTGGAGTACTGGAGTCTGGGAAGGAGCGTGGCCCAGTGGTTGAGAGCGTGGCTCCGAGTCAGACCATGCATGTTCAGCCCCCACTGCTGGGCCTGTGTGTCCTAGAGCAAGTCACAGACCGTCTCTGTGCCTCCCACTTCCCGTCCGCAAGCAGGGGCAGGCTTAGGGCCTGTCTGCCGGGGGTCTCGAGGAAAACGGGAGACAAGACCGGCCGAGTGTGCGGGGCAGCGCGGGGTGCTGCCCCGTGTCTTACTCCCCTTCGAGCCAGGACGGGGCGCCCCCTCCGTTCCTCGCCCTCCGATCAGGCCTGCCACAGCCTCGTGCTGCTTCTGCGCCCGCCACTCCATGGCACCGCCACTCCGTGGCACCATCCTCTGGCCACTCGCCTGCCACACCGTGCGCCCCGCTGCACCCGGCCCCCCTGTCTCTGGCGTGCGGCCCCTCGTCCGTCCAAAACGAGAGCCTCAACACCTTCCCCACCGCCTTGGCCGCCGGCCGCCCGCCGACGTGTGCCTGTCAGGCCTTCCTCCGAGGGCGGCTTCTGGCAGGCTCCCCCCGGCCTCAGTGAGACGGCGCCGCCTCCTTTGGTGTCCACTGTACAGGGAGTTTGTTGTTACTTCTGTTCGTTGTGGCATAAAATATACAGAAATGTGTACAGACCCTGGCTGTTCTGCCCAGAATGTCCCCAAGCAGCGCCCTGCGTGACCAGCACGCCGTGAAGAGTGCCCCCCATGCCAGCCCCCACGGCGTAGCTCCCACCCGATGCCCAGCCCACAGCCTGGCTTGCACAGACCCTGAGCCGCATACAAGCGGACACACTCCGTGGGGTGTGTTTGTGTCCGGCTTCTTCCACCCGTGTTATGTTTGCGAGGGATGCCTGATGTCTTCTACGATGGTTTGGTGAAGCCTTGGGGACCCGAGAATCACACACACAGGGCACTAACACGTGGTCAGCTGGGAGCTTCCTGCTACACGTGCGTCCAGCACCTGCTGCCCGAGGGTCCAGGCCTGCAGGACGGAGGGAGGGGCTTCTAGGTCCAAAGAGCCACCCTCCCTCCTTCCAAGACTCTTCCCAGAGGGAACCTCTGAGCCACCAGCACCC